AAGGCTGGTTCGAATTAGGGAAAAAAGTTAATCCCTTGATTCGGCCAGACCTATTATTATATTATTGACTTATTGAAAAAGACTTGAGTGCCCTTCTTTAAGTAAGAGGCACTCGAACTAACATAACAGTACACATCAGCATTGCTCAACAAGTACAAAGACTGAAATACCCCTTCACTAACACCACTAACAAGACTCATTTTAAGAAAATGTTGCAAGGAAAATGTCAGCTTTCCCTTCTGTCTATTTTGCCATTTCCAGTCGTTCTCGAGATGGAAGTCTACTTGTGCCAATGACTAATACAAAGCTGGAATTTGTAGGCTGAAATTTTCAAATACATTTGTAATTTTTTACTTTTACAAGGTGCGGCTTTAGGTCATGTTTTATATAGATGGATCTAATGGTTTATCAAAAATAGGCATGTGAAAAGGCTTATGGTTGACATAATTTGTAAAGCCTGGTGATTCTGAGGATTAAATTTGAGCAGATGACATCTTTTTTTTGTCCACATATGGTGCCAAATTTAATAATTGAAAAACTATTATTAAATAGAAAACTTCAGAGGAATGAATAATGGAAAAAGAAAAAGAAATATGAAGAATGAGGGGTGGTATTCTGACCCTTGTCTCTGCACTTTTATCTAAATGAAATAGATTAATGTTGAAAATATTAGTTTATCCGGTTAACTTGATGAAAATGACGTATAAATGTTTCCACTGCCTTTCTTCTTTCATCAAAAGACAAATTATGTATAGCATTCTTGATTGTATTGTCTTCTGAAAGAAGTTTTACAAACATACCTTAATATTTGAGGTTTGGATATTAAATAATCATGTGAAATATTTATTCCAGTGTACTGCATTGATCCTAACAATCATGCCACTCCTGCTTTCTGTAACAGTTTTTTGGTGGCTTCATTTCGCGGCCCTGTGTGGAAAAAAGGAGTTACTTGATTGTGAATGGAGTGTGAGGATGGATCTGACTTGTCCAATCTCAACCTGGTGGTGGATTCAATTAAATTCTTCCTGTGTATGAAAATTGTCCTAATACCTCGAATTCAGGGAAAAGATTTTCTGACACAATTGGAAATGTTTCATTTCCGCCATGGCATGCTAATATTGCATCTTCTTGCTGCTTTCATGTTCTTTCCATCACTTGTGGCTTGTTTACAGGTATGAATTTCTCTTTCTTTGTCTAAAAGGAAAGACTATAGTAATGATAATCCAAGCAAAGTACTTGCCTGCATGGTTAAGGACATTATGGATTACCATGAAACAAAGAAAATCTAGTGGACTTTAAAATTGGGGATATAAAATTGTTTATATTAGAACAGTGGCATCCTTGGGGAATGTAAAATACCAGTACTTATATCATATGATGTTTATTTTTCTTAGAATAAACTTACATTTTAATTGGTGATGAATGACTCGGACATGCCTATTGAAACCAATATGCCGTTGTAATTTTTACTTGGCAGCTCGTTGGGGAACCCTGGACCTTCTGGAATTGGGGGTGTCTTTAAAGTTGAGAGAGGAAGAATCCTAGATATGTATTATGGCCCAATAGGTGTTGGGGGATTCGCATAGAGCAGAAGTACTTGCCCTCCTCTAGGGGCTCAGATTGGCTAAGCAATTGGGTATGCAACAGCTAGAAGTGGAGGGAGACTCAAAGTTAGTAGCACGTTGGTTGCAAACAAATAGTTTGGGAACTTGGCCTCTAAGAGAAGCTGTAAGGGAAGTTCTGAGCCTTACAAGGGAGCTGGTATGGTTGTTAATTGGATTAGGAGGTCAGCGAATGCTTTAGCTGACTTACTAGCCAAAGCAGGGGTGAACAGAGACTCTTTGTTTTAGGCTGTATTGTAATTTAAATTAACGTTCAGGGGGTCACCTTTTCCTTCTGTAGGTGACACTTGTAATTCTGTTGTTCTAGTTAATGAAAGTTACCGTTTCCTATAAAAAATCAATTACATTTAGTAACTCATAACCCCCCTCTCCCCCCCAAAAAAAAATTCTTGGAGTCTCTAGAGTGGGGTTAATAAACCATAATCAATTTTATCCTCTCTGCTTTCTTCACTTTTCTAGATTCTTCTAGTGCCATGTTGCTATGTGCTTTTGACGGAATCACACAGCCTCTGGATAGTCCTTTACATTAATTAACTTCATACCCTTAACCTTCCTTGTTCATGCAGAGAATTGGGATGGGTGAAAGCTTTCCATGGTTCATAGACTCTGCTCTTTGCATTGGTGTCATTCTACATGGGCTTTGTGGCTCAAAGCCTGGAGTGAACTCCCTTTCATTCCCATTCCTTCATTTGTTTGGTCCGGACATTGGTCTGAGCTTTGTGTATCTGCTCGCTGGGTATTATTGCTACATTTCTGGCCTTGAGTTGGCTCCTTACAGAGCATTTTATGCCATGGCTGCTGTTGGTGTGRTTCTTTTTGCTTTGAGGGTCATTGAGAGGAAGGGCTTTTCCTCAGATAGCTATTTTGGCAACCGAAAGCACTCTCACAAACATTGAGGAAGCTTTCCTTCAGATAGCTATGCACACTGAAGAACAGAAGTGGGTAAACATTCTCTTGTACATGTTTTTGTCAAGTTATTTGCTGATACAGTAACGGGAACAATGGACATGGCCTGGTTTCCAGCGGTTTTGCGGCTCAGATTTGTCCTTGACACAATTTAGATTTTAGACTCTTGTTTATTGATGAGGGAAATGGGAAGCAGAAAAGCTGTTTAATTGTTTTAATCAGTTTGGTGAATCTCTATAACAATTGCCGAACAAATTAATCAAATGTTGTATAAAGTACTAAATGCTGAGCAGCTGGACTTTTGATTGATTCCTTAAAGCTCATTTGACCTTGATTCATCTGAACTTGCCCATTGGCACTGGATCATGGATGGTTTRCTGGCTGGAACAAGGTGGATCTAGCTAGTGCAACAATGTAGCCTAAAACTAAAAGCTACGGAAGAAGTTCGTGGACCTGCCTGTTCCTCTGATACTCTCTTGTTATCATCTTGGTATACTCTCTTGTTATACATTAATATACGATGCTTGATGTGAGGATTACCTGTGACTGAGAATTGAGATTCCTTTGGGTAAAAGTAGTACAAATCAATGCAACTTGGACCTTCCAGAACAAATTAGGTGTTTTAGATCATCTGTTATTTTTTTATTATGATAAATGTTGGACTCATGCAATGCAATGGTTGATCCTTGCAATGGTGAAGGTGGGAATCAGTCTCATGTCGCCCCCAACAACCAATTACCGATCAGAGACCATACCAACTGAGCCGGTTAGCACCTTCTACCCGAGGAAGCTGATTGAAGATATAGTTCTGTTCCTGATAAAAATGGTTCAAAAACTTAGATGATAACCTAAAAGGCAGCTCGGGCGGCATGTTGAATACTTGAATGGTTTAACCAGGTAGTTTGCTGGGTGAAGACGTAAAGTGATGTTCAAACTTCAAACCATTCAAAACGTGGAACCCGAGTTCAACCGTAGTTTTAAAAACAATGCCTCGTAATGGTTTCTCATTCCAGAATACCAAATACATGTACAACGCTCACCATGCCCCAAATACATCTAATGACATTTTTTCGTTGATATGCATATACAGAGATGGTGGCATGGTGTCTAATAGACCCCAAACACTTTCGTGCTTTTTAAATCAAGAAGACAAGAACCATGTTTTTAATGCAGCAGAAGCCACCAAAACCATTTTCTAGGCTCCATGAAGTTGAGCAGAGATGCCATGCTTTAAATCCGAGATGCAAAGTTAATTGATTATTAAATTATGCTTCAAATCAAATTAGTAAAAGACATTTTTAGAGGCATGATGATCTTGAATGGACAACAAGGTCTCAGATCTCTTACATAATCTATTCTAATATTTTAGTTATAGCGCATTTCAGCATAAGCCTCGACCTTGATGTAAATATATTGCCGCTCATTATGTGGTTCTGGTTCATCGAGCTCAGACCCGAGACGGAAAAAAAAATTTCTCAACCCTTTCAAGTAGGGGTTTGGGCAATTTTTGCAAATCGAATTGGTACAAGTTAATTGCTCTGCTGGTTTTGGTTTTTGACTGGTTCGGTTCTTTGGTTTTTTGGTTTTTTTTATTTATAATTATATATTATATAAATATATGTATAAGATTATATTATGAATAATAAATGATATATAATATATTATAAATATTATAAAAATATATAACATATATAATATATTTATAAATAAATTATTATAAATATAATATATAAAAAATATGTAACATTAAAAATATATATAATATACATATAAATATATATATATCGGTCAGTTCGATTAACCACCAGTTTGTAGGTTAATCAAAAACCAAACCGATTCTTTGATTTTTCAAAAATACCACCACATTTTCTGATTCAGTTTTCTCGGTTTGGTTCGGTTTTTCATGGACACCCCTACTTTCAAGACTAACATAATAAGAAAATCAAATGACGCATAAAATATGTATTTTATAGAAAAAAAAAGGTTAAAACTACAGTCGGAAGGTGTCAGACATCCCTCTGCCTGAAAGTTGCCTGAAAGTTTTGAAATAACTATTTCAATTTCTACAGTGAATAGATGAAAAAGAGCCTAACCTAGGGTATAGGCCTAGAATGCACTTATAGGAAAGAATGGTTTACAGCCCCTTGTCTGGACCTAGTTAGCATTTTCAGAATAGCTTGAGAAAGGACTTCCAATCGATAGTTAATAAACAACAAAAAACAAAAAAAGAATGACCAAAATTAGATTTCATCTTAAAACTTAGTAAGCAAATAGATGTGAACACTATTGCAACCAGGATAAAAATCTAAGCTCTCTTGGTTTCCATTTTCCCACATAAAATTGCAACAATCACTCGGAACATATTTTAAAATCGTTAGATAACCATCCAAACATTCTATAAATTGTGGCTCATATGTTACTTGGAAGGATGATCCAATTTTGTAGCACATTACATGAATAGCTGATGATGCCTGTGGATCATGTGCTTATGATTTTCACTCGGGAGGCCACTACAGTAACAACTACCTAGGCATACAACAGTATCTACATGAACATACCAAAGTACCAAACTAATACTTCCCTTGAGCTAAGGTCCCAGTCCTATTCAAGTATTCATTTCAATTCTTTGGAATCTTCAACCACTGAGAAAATGAGTTTCAAATTGACGAGTATGCATTTTCTTCTTTGTTTAGCAGTAAACAAAAAAATGGATTTACAAGTACGCAATTCCACTTTTCAATGTTGTAGTGTAAACCAAAAGAAAGCACACAAAAGGGATATAAAGAGCATTTCATACTTCATTAACACAAACCAGTTAGCTATTAGTAGTGCCTCAAAATCAACATGCAACAAAACCTCAGGATGTAAGGGGCTATGAAGTTATCAATCGAAAGACAAAATCACCTCACTTTCCATTTCTTTCTTGGAGCTACATTCTGGTCTGGACCAAATGTGTACTAATAATAGGAGTCTCAGACATGTAGGGGTGCACACTTAATTTGGAAGTTTGTCTCTTCTGACAGTCATAAATTTTATGAGCTTGTGCATCCAACCTTTACCTTCCTGCAAATCTTGCCTTGACTTTTTATGGCAGAATTCAGAATTAACTGCCAAGGCAAAGACAAATTCAAATCTCTGCTGCTACAATATCATTCTTCAGTGGTGTTTACTTGCTTTGAAATCGGCGGCTCTCACAACCAGGGCAGTTGTGTAAACTCTCATGAATATAAATGTCACAGTCAAGGCAGAAATGCTGATTGCACTTGGAGCATGCAACATGAAAGCTGGACTTGTTTCCTGCGTTCAGGACCAGCAATGACAAGTGAGGAGCAAGAATGGCAAGAAAACACTACAGATAATTAAACAAGTGGATTCAAAATTATATAGTGGCCATTGGCAACTAGAATTAGGATAGAAAATATCAAATGATGTTACAACATTACTGTGTGAATCACAATTAAAAAAACAATATCCTAGAATTATAGTCATGTATCACTGCAATCTGAAGCTTCTAAATCATCACTCACCAGGAGCAAGAAAAGTCTGCCGGCAACCAAAGCAAGTTTTTGGCAATCTGTGATGTGGGTTATTCACTAGTGAAGAAGAGACCTCAACAAATGGTGTTATTGGGAAAAGATGATGGTACGACCTTGCCAAATGGGGAGAAGAAACGAGCGTCAACCCACAGATCTGGCATTCGATAGGCAGCTCACACACACGTGCTTTGCATCTTGGACATGTGTAGCCACCACCAACCTTAGCTTCCTTGTGACAGGAACAAATGGAGACAACACCCTCTGCTGCTCTTTGAGGGAAGCCCATTTTGATTAAATTGGCTATAGCAAACTCTGCTATTGCTGGGGGTGGGGGGGCATGCTCTAGCAATAACTCCTTAAAATGAGACTGCAGAGAAGAGCAAAAATAAACACACATTCAAAAAATATTTCAAAAGATAAGGTATCTATATGTAGGTAGTTGGCTCACCTCATCCAATGCTACAGTATATGATCCTCCAGTTTCTTGGCAGAGATGTTTACATATATAGATTTCAGCTGAGAGACCAACAACTGAACACCTTATTTTGGATTTCTTGCATTTCTGAATAGTCTCCATTATATCTCCTGGGTCACAGGTACTGAGAGCAGAATATAAGATTAAGACTTCACGGTGACCGTATGACGGAATTTGGTTCAGATAGCCGTGAACGAGATCTAAAGCATTCTGTAGGGAGGAATCACCTGAGCATTCCAGCTTACCCATCAATGCCTTTATATGGGAATCGGGACTGCCACCTAGATCTGTTAAGCATTGGGCAACCCCATCTTTGATAGTTACAAGGCCAATATGACTAAGTGGATTCTGGTCAAAGAACTCTCTAATGAAAGCCTCCACATGTTTTGCAACTACAGCCATTCTACTTGGTCGGAAATCCATCTCCGAAGCTGCCTGCTCATGGTCAATAAAACCTAGATTCATTACAAGTAAGACGAAATAGGAAAAAGAAAGAAAAGAAAGTGAACCTTTCAAAAATAAAGAACCTTGATTCAGGTATTAGATTATAACTTTACAAGGTTCCAATTTATCATTTTCATAAATGGGTTTTGAAAGTCATGTGGGAGAATCACTTCATTACACTTCCAATTAAATATATATGTTCTTAAGTGTTTGAACAGTTCATCGTCAAAGAAAGGGCTCACCAAGCTGACATCAGAAATAGATTTATTTCTTGAAATCCTATGATGATTTGGAAATTGGAAATAGAGGAAATGTGTTGGGGCTGTATTGGGTCCCATTGGAATTGGAAATTCCACTACAGATGAACTGAAGGCAATGGTATATGGGATATGGGATACAAAAAGATAAGGAGATGGGGATGGAAAGGCTGGTTGTGGAAGGGGATTCCAAAGTTACCATCAGTTGGGCTAAAACAACATGACAGCACACCCTGGATATTCAGAAATGACATCAAGAAGATTAGAAGTCTTTCCAAGGACATGCAGCTTTCAATTCAGTGGACCCATAGAGTAGCAAATGGATTTGCAGACCAGCTAGCCAAACAAGGGGTGAACAGGGATCTCTTTTTCTGGGCTCAACTGTAAGAGTAAAAATCAATTTAATAGTGGATACATTACATTGTAGTGGGGTAGCCGAGGCTACTCATAAACTGTAACCCCTGTAATTTCTTTTTACTGATTAAAAAAAGTCCTATGATGATTTTTTTTTTGCCAAATTCCAGATAAGATAACTTCCATTCAAACAGTTCGGTTAATATTGACAACTGAAGCTTAAGGACAAAAGGTTTTCAATAATAAGCAAGATGCCATGCCAGGGCTTAAAAGCTATTTTATATATTTCACATATAAGGCACTGTTTGGATAGACTTCTACTTTTCTACTTTTAATAGTACCAAAGTACGAAGTACATAAAATGCTTTTACTTTGGTATTTTTGCTTTGAAAACCATTTGGGTAAAAAATTTTGTGAAGTATGCTTTCGGAAACAAAAGAACTATTTCCTGTTTGGTAAAAGCACGTCCGTTCATGCTTCTGATGACGGTTTCCAGTGGTTTGGTGGCTGAGACCGGCGACAGCAGTCTAACTCCAGTAGCAGCGAGCAGAGGTAGGGCCAAGAGTTGTACCGGAGGGTGGTCACATGTGACCACCCGTTCGCACAAAAACGGAAGTACTATTTCGCCAAAAGCACGAAGTATAAAAAGCCGACTTCGTGCTTTTGGGGGTTTTCGTACTTAGAAGTATGAAAGTAGAAGTACAAAGTATACAATACAAACACTATATCGTACTTTCAAAAGTATGAATGTACTTTATAAAAGTCTATCCAAACAGGGCCTAAAACATTCTTGTAGTCACTTCATTTAAAGATGACAACTTGAACATTCAAACTACATAAAGAATTTGAATGAAATGATATCAGCATATGATTTCCTCACAATGCATAAATGATGGATGCAATTATTAATCCATGCATCCATTATTGAGGTGAGCCCAATTAGTATTTTACAAGATAGACATAGACTTAGAAGTGATGTTCAATGTTCAACCAACAATAACCTGTAGGAAAAGGTTTTACTGCTCAACTACTAAGCTATTGATATTGATCAGATAGGTCCTTTCATTCTTAAGCGCTTGTACAACTTTAGCATTGTGATATGGTAGATGGTCATGGAAGTATGACAATTGATCAGATTAAAGCCTCCATGAAGCTTAGGTACTATTGATTAATGATCATATCTGTTGAGCTAAAAAGACAAATTACAGATGAGAGGGAAAAAAAGATACAACGGAATAAATACATCTCTACCTGATCTGCCTCCACATCAAGTTACCAATCGAAGTAGATTATGTCTTATAAATTGAATTGCAAAGGAAATGGGTAAAGTGTAGATGGACAAGGATCGGACATGGGTTAATCTGGCTTTAGATTACACTAAAGAACCCGATGTAGCGTGTAGGGGTATGACAAGATCATCATATTACACCTGAAAGAACTAAATTTCCCTCGTGTTGCAGAACCAGAGGCATACTACAGGAAAATTCCTATGACTTCCCTATATGAACTCGTGCTTTCCTTTTCTTGCCTACATGCTATATTCAGCTCATTCTTGTCATGTTCATAGCAATTAAGTCTGGTTTTCACGTTAGCTGAGTATTGGCCCTTCAACCTAAAATGCTTCTTTATAAGTCTTTTTTTCTTCCTGTTACTAAGTACTATGAATAAAGTCCTAGTTCTGTGACTCTGTCAACCTTCAAGTGCTCTTGAAAAAAACAAAAGAAATTTGCAGTGTAATTTTAAAAGTTCAAGAATAAAGTCCTAGTTTATTTGCTCTTTACTCTATAGATGACCTCTCTCAAGGTTGGCAAATGGTGACAGGTTCCTCAATTACTAGGACTGTGGTTTGTATGCAATGGGAACTGCCTAGCAATGATCTAATTAAGCTAAACTTTGATGGTAATTGCATTAGAAATCCAAGATCTTCCAGGTAGATGGAGATTTTAGAAAAGAGGATGGCAACATACTAGTGACATATTCAGGTCCAGCTGGTTATGGAAATTCCTTGAGGGCTGAATAATAGCTATTTTACAAAGTTTAAGACTGGCAAGGTCAATAAACTTCAGGAAGCTAGTGATAGAGGGAAATTCAAAAGTAGTGGTGAGCTGGATGGAGAATAACAGCTGGCAATATGGCAATATAGGCATGCTATGAGATAAGTTAGTTGTCTAGTAATGGAAATAGAGGTAATAATCCATTGGGTTTGAAGAACAGAAAATGCTTTAGACAATAGATTGGAAAAGAAAGGAGTGAATACAGAACTTTTTTTTGCTGGGAGGGGGCTTGTTTGATGTGTATTGTACTATTGTTAAAGAGGGATAGGTGGAGTTTGTTCAGTTTATGCTGTGAGATGTTTTGGCATATTAAAAATATATCATTCTCTCTATGAATTAACAAAGAATGACAGTTATTACCAATAAAAAAACTACAAAACAATTTATGGCTAATCAAACTCGTGGCAACTAACTTCCAACCTACTAACAATAGTCCACCAAAAACCAGATTGCAGATAAGAATTCTAATAGTAGAAAGAGCAAAGAAGATATAGATGAATCAAGAGATTACCCTGGAGAGATCAATGACAATATAGAGGTATCGAATGAGGCCTTTCTGAATTCTGGAAGTGGTAGCAGAAGAGAAGAGGGAGCGGATGCGGCGGCGGTACTGAGCATGATGGAGGACCTTGTTATCAATGGCATGAAGGATGCCAGACTCATCTTCTTGCAAGTTCTCCCATGATCTCTCGTCAGCATAAGCTCTCTCCCATGCAGCCATACCTCTTCCATTTCCCTCCTCATCCTCCTCATCTTCTTCTTCACCTTCACCAGTCAATTGTCTCTCCTCACCATTAGTGGTGTTCTTGGGTTCATATCTACTTCCAGTACCAAAGTTGCTCATTGCTTCTTTTACTTCTAATAATAACAATTTAAGAAGCTTTTTTAGGCTACTCTCTGATATGAAAGAATTTCTACAAACAGAAATATGCTGATGATGTATGGTTAGGGTTCCAAGTTATACTAATGAAAACATTCCATCAATAAACTGTTAAGTTTCCATAGCAACCATGAAGAAGAAGAAACCCAATCCTCTATGCTTTATTAACAAATATTCTGTTACTGATGATCAATAAAAAAAAAAAGAAGAAACCCAATTGTTGACATGATTTGTTCTCCTTTTGGGATGTCAGGAATAATATTAAGAATGGGGATATAAGCTGGAAAAGCATGGGAATGCTGCCATATTACAAGCAATTTTTCTCCTATAGCACCTGTAACTATGACTTGAGATTACCCTATTTTCTAATGTTGTTCATTCATTCATTGCAATAAATCTTTTTAAAAGGGAATGAAAGTTATAAAATCATTATTTTTTATGTGAGAAATAAGAATTTCAGACCCTAACATAGACTTGTTCGGGCTTGCCTCAAGGGGTGTGGTCGGGGGTCCGGGGGCAGAGACCCTGGCCTAGCCGTTAGACTCAAAAAAAAAAGAAGCAAAAAGCGCAAAATTTTAAAAAGGCGCATGCCTGGGCTGAGGCGTAAGGCGCACCAGGCGTGCGCCTTTTGAAAGGGGTGTGCCTAGGACCTGGGCGAGGTGCACACCCCAAAATGCGCCTCGCCTTTGCACCTAGGTGTGCCTTTTAAATCACTAGACCTACCCTGACCCATCCATACTGACCCTTACCCACCGGTCCCACCCTCACCTATAAATGCAGAAACGGGTCGGGTCAAACCGTATACCCAAAAAAATCTTTTAGAGGACTATCTCTCTCAAGACTGCTACATGACAGAAACGGGCTGGATAAACCCATATACCTGAAAACCATTTTTTAAGAGAATCATCTCTCTCACAACTGCCACGTGAAAAAAAATGGGTTGGGTCAACCCATATATCTGTAAAAACCAATTTAAGAGAAATGCCTCGCTCTTGAGACCGACACATGACAAATAAAGGTTGGGTCAACCCGTTACTCAAAAATCAATTTTAAGATAATCATCTCGATCTCATGACTGTCACGTGACAAATACGGGTAGGGTCAACCTCTATGTCCAAAAATTGTAAAAAACGCATAAAAATAAAAGAAAAAATACAAAAATGCAGAAACTTTGCAAATGAATTGCAGAAAATGCAAAAATGTTGCAAAAAAATACAGAAATTGCAGAAAATTATACAAATTGCAGAAAAAATAACAGAAAATGCAGAAACTTTGCAAAAAAACAATACAGAAATTTTGCAGAAAATAGCAGAAAATGCATTCAAATACCAGAAAAATTGCAGAAAATTCAGAAATTACAGAAATTGGATACCACACTTGTTGGTCTGGAACAGATGGGCCAAAGGAGACACTCTCAAGAGACTGAATAAGGTCTAAAGCAAGTGAACCTTCACATTCCCTTAGCCTCATTTCAGTCTCAAATCCCATTAAGTCCCAGACTCCAAGGAGTAGATACAGCAACACAGTGAGATTTTTTGGTTTTTGTTGTGATAACTGAGAAAGGGAATAAGGATAGATTTTGGTCTCAAATCCCTTAGCCTCCATTTCCTATGCATCACGGGTTACACTCTTTAGGCTTCATTCTTTCCACTACCATTGATTCCAGGTGATTTCTGATTCAGTTGAAGATCTGAAGTGATTTGATCATTTTCCCTTTTTTGATTCCCATAATCCCATCCCCATGTAGAGTATGATCATTGGTTTGGAAACTGAACATGGAATTCTTCGTATAAAAGTAAGCCCTCATTTTCAAACTAGTGTTTCTGATATAGTTATTTATACGTTGTTATGTTGATTTTCTATTGCCAAAGGTCTAATATCCTTAATGTAGAGGTTTTTAAGTTTGATATATGTATATTTTTCCTAGCAGATGCATTTGGTAGGCAAGGTTGCAAAAGAAACACTGTAAACTAAACATTCATATCATTCTTTTCTTGCATGGATATTGTCTAAATTAACTTACTTCATCAACTAACCAACAACACCAAGGCACCAAATAGTCATTGCATCGTCTGCATAGGCCAAAACAACTAGTCATTGCCTCATCACATTGACACTGCATGAAACTCTCTTGGGAGTTGGAAGTTCATATTGTCTTATTTCTCCCTGTTGTTCTATACAACTCAAAGTTCTTTTTTTGTTTTTTTATGAAATTACTATATATACACATACAGAGGCTCCTATCCATGTTAAGAACTTCTATTTTATTAAGTTTCATGCTTGACAAACCTTGTCAGGTGACATAGATGTTAGCTAATCTCCATAAGCCCCCCTTTAGAAGTTCACTCAACATCTCAACCAAATGGCATTCTATCAGTCAACTTTCATGTTCAGCCTAAACTCGAAGATGCTAAAGCCTAAATTGATGCTTTGAATGTGAAGTCAGCACCTAGAAAGGGGTTCTAGGTGCAACTCTGGTTAGATTTCCAACTAGCCTCAAAGGGACAAACATAATACCTTGTGACTATATCTTTCAAGTAATAACTTACAAATAATTGATGAACCAGGACTTTCCAAAGAGCAACCAATTTTTCTTTATTGGAAATAAAAAAAATATATTATAGGAAAAGAAAGAAAAAGGAAGTATAGCCTCTTGCTGACAAGAAGCTGGAGGACCTTTATTACCAATGGTGGAAATTTCATTAATTAAAAACATGAGTTATTCCTCAAAATAAAAAAAAAAAAGAAAAAGGAAGGAAGACTTTCAGCCAACAAACTAGCAAAACCTTGAAACCCATCTAAACAAGATATTCACTTTGGAAGCTCTCTCTAATGTAATCACTGATCATATAAGCACAAGAGTCACCCAAGCTATCTAGATGTCCACCCAATAATAGTCAAGCACTTACCTCCACCACAACTTAACCATAACCTGTGGAGTGTGGAGTGTATTAGCAGGAGACATTGGAGTAAGGTCAACTTCTTGGCTCTATGTGCTGGGTTCTGTCCATACTGTTAGAAGGACTTGTGCTTTGTACCATCCTGTATTAACTTAAAGTCTGTATATTGGCGCACAATGGTTGCCAAGGTGTAACGGAGAGGTTGAGAGAAGCCTAGATGATGAAATTTGACAAAAGCAACTCAGAACTCCCAAACTATTTTCCTAGTCAGAATAGCGTCCACAATGTAACAGAGTTAGCAAACGTCAATAATTTCACTAAATAACAATGCCTCTCACCTAATAAATAATACTACATTATCGAATCTGTAAGTAAATAGAAATTCAGATCATCAATTTCCCAAATCATTAATCATCACCAGGAAGCAGCACCGAATATGCATATTCTTGATCATACATATAAAAAATTTGGAGACAGGAATTTTGTTTCTCTGTTTATCAAAAGGGTAAAGGATTGAAAACTAGCATAAGTAGAAAAAGTAATGAAACCGCATACCTCTTAATTCTTGTAATGAAGGAAATATTTATCCAAGCGTAGCAAAAATTAAAACCTACAAAATTCACATTCTAGATCAGAAAAGAAACATGAAACATCTAACTGGAGAATTCCTGGTTCGGAGCTTTTAATTACCTAAATATCACAAAAATAATACAGGGTCTTTGCCGATAAAAAGAACAATAGTAGAGGTCTGCACTGTTTTTTTTTTCTGAAGAGAAAGGTAATCGAGGGGGAGGAAGAAGACGAAGAAGAGAGGAGGAAAAATAATGGCGGAGAAACCTCCGACCCTGAGAATGGTAGAGAAACCTTCGACCCTGAGAATGGTGAAGAATGGCAGAGAATGGCAGGAAGAAACCCTCGACCTGAACTTTCGAACCCTGAACAGACCCTTACTGTTACTGAAACCCTCGACCCATGGTACCCTCCACTTTAGTACCTTAAATTTTGGGTAGTGTCAAGTTAGTACTTTGAACTTCAAATGTGTCATAGCAGTACCCAAATTTTCAAAAATGTTAAGTTGGTCCCTGCCATTAATCCACCGTCAATTATCTGATGTGCAATTTCTTAAAAATTTTGAAAATGTCAAAACTAGACACTGACTGAACCCAGCGCCAGATGCAGCTCCTTCTTCCCTGATCTCTTCTCAATCTCTCGTTCTCTCATCTCACCATTGTTAAGTGATTAAGATGGGGGAGTGGCCGACGAAGTTGGTGGAACAACGTCGCATCCTCTGTGGGCAGAATCTACATACCAAAACATGCCTGAATACTTTCATAAGCTGCAAAAGATATAGTCATACAACAAGATATCTACCTAAGAAGATAACCACACACTGTCAGAGACTTCGCTCGGTGGAGATCGACAAGAAGAAGATCGCTTAGCTTCATAGCGATGCTGTGAAATCCTCTCTGGAGCCCAAAATCCAACACAGCCTCGACCAGGCTTGTTAGCCTGTACAGATGGAAGAACACCACAGGCCCAAAGTATTCGAAATATTGAAGACAAGGAGGATAGAGATGTATCCCCTTGGCGAGTGGTTGGCAGTCTCTCACAATCAGCCTTCTAAGCCGCAAGCGTGGGTGAGAAATTTTGATGTGATCCAAATATCGGCACTCCACTCAGAGTTTCAAGAAGCAGACAGTTGTTTACCAGATTCTCGATCACTTCCTTAGTTGCTTCTGTAATCCGAGTCGCGCGAGTGATACGTTCTTTAGAGCAGGAAATCCATGGAAACTGGGGGAACCCAAATTGCAGAAGCTCAAGCTCAACACCCGTAGAGATTTGGAGCCCGTTGCATGGACGGAACCACACAGATAGAAGAGTCTTTCGTTGAAAGGATCGAAGTCAAGCCGATGGAAAGCTCCAACCGAGAAGTCAAAGTGGAGCTCCTCGATGTTCTTTCGCAAGCAGAGGCTGATCCACTCATTTTCGAAGTCACAATACCTGGTTCTGTAAGACTGTAACCAAATCAGACGTCTAGCCTAGAGATCTTTGGGCTCTGCAGGCATTGTAGCGTGTGGTGGACCGACTCCACGAAGATGTCTCTTCTTACTTTTCTCACCGTTTCTGAAGATTCTCTCCATTTCTCACAATCTCTTCTTCCTCCATCACCTTTCTGGCCCTCCATCTTCTATGCACGATTCCCCTGTTTTCCCGTATCTCTCCACCATGCTTCCTCCTGTAATAAATGAGAAAAGAGAGTACCGCTCCCGTTGCTGAATGAAATTCCCAGTGGTACCACCTTAAGACGTCAGATAAATCACATCGTCACCCATCTCATTTTCATTTAAACAAAGAAAAATTTCGTGGAATCCTTGACAGCATACATTACTGATGCACCAATTCTCAAGTCACGGGTAATCTCAATTCTCAGGTCATGATTAGGAATACTGGGTTTGAGTCATTTTTCTTTCCCGGGAACTAATTGAATTGATACCAATCATAAGAAAATTGATGAAGGCCATTTTTGTCTTTTTACATTATGATTAATGTTCCTTAACAGTTTTGACATTTCTTGAAATTTTGGATAATGCAACTACACGTTTGAAAGTTTGGGTATTAACTTAACAGTACCCCAAAGTTTAGGGTACTAAAGTAGAAGTTTTACTTGATAATATAATTTGATAGTTTCAAACTTTCAATTGGTTTTATGGTTTATTGGACGTGTCCATATAAGTGTCAATTATATCGGACCAAAAAATTTGGACGGGTCCAATTCAATACAACTTATTGGACCGTTCAACCCGATTCCAATCTGTTAGTAGGGGACCAGGGGTATATATAATGCTCGGGCCTAAGTTTGGGTTGGGCTTGACCTTTGATATGGGCCGAGAAACAGAAACAAAATTGAACTTGTGTTATAGGCTTTATGGGCTTCAAATCTATTAGTACTAGGAGTCCAAATACTTGGCTCCTACAGGTTAGGATGACATGCATTCTGCCATAGCCACTAATTTCATGATTTAGGGTTTAGGATTTAAAAGTTTAGAGTTTAATTCTAAGGTTTAGTGCTTAAATCTAAAAATCAGGAGGTGGTCTGACGCTTCGTCTGACCATGGCAGGGGCTAAGGTTCTGGGGTGAGGGCCCATTGCTTGGTCCAATAGTAAATTCTTGGGCTGACAAGCATAAGAACATAAATTCAGGTCCGAGACAGCCTCTTTGCAAGGAAATTGGGTTCAATCTAATCCACCCCTCTCAAGTAGGGGCTGTAATTCACATGGATTTAGACTTGAATATTTGAGCTGAATATGATGAGGGAAAGAACCCTACTGAATTCAATCAAAATTCAATCAGACTTATGAGGTATCAAATTGAATTCGAATTCCTTCAGATTTCTTGGGTTTTTAACAAGCCACTTAGGTTAGTTTTACTTTTGCTTTTAAATTCCAAAGAAAATTAGAGAAGCTAAAAAAAGGAAAAATAATGAAGATTGAAGAGTTAACCTAATATGGAAACCCTAATCTTCAATTAAACCCCGCAATTTAGGTCGTGTTTGGTAAGAGTGCAAAAAATTGAATGCAAATTTGTTCAAATAGAATTAGGAAAACAGATAATCTAAAATAATTGAAGCGGATTTGGGCTCCATTGATAGCCCTACTCCTAATGCCTTGGGTAGCCAGGTGTACATATGAGCTTTCATACAGCATAAGGGGTTTATTGAGTAATAGAGAGGGATGATGGGGATGGTTGTATACTACGTAGGATTACACATAATTGGTGGTAAGAAATGTGAATGGAGAGACAAGGAAAAGGGATAGAAAGATAATAAGAGCAATGAAGAACTTGAAGATATATAATTTAAAAATGTACAAAGAAAAATAGTAGATTAAGAAAAATAAACCTAAAATAATAACTTAGTGATTCAATAAACAAGTCTTAAACAAATGAATGAGCTACTTGTAGTAAATTAAAAATAAGTCCTAATAGAATCAACACCATTAGGTTTCTCTAGAGGGGAGCATCCATAAGAATTCAACTTTCATTCATCCATTAATTCTAGAAAGAGTTTTTATGAAATATTGAAATATATATAAATCTGAAATTTTTTCTCAATCTCTTACCAAAATCTTTGATTGATTTGATTGAGAGAACTTCCCACAGGCTCCACTTGAATTAGTTAAAATTGATAGAATGCGCCCAATTGAATGTGAGACACAAATATGGACTGTAAGGCCCATAGTCTCATGACTGGGCTTTCTTAAGAGTGAAAAATAATGAGATTACCATCAGTTGAGACTTGGGGAAACCAGCCTGACTTGGAATTATGTTTGGTGAAACAAATGTTCTTGGGATATGGTCATCTACGGGTGTCTTCTGGCGTTAAATATTAGATTTGTGAACTATTTTTGTTTTCCACAGGTAATCCAGAGGATTGTTTGTGTCATCAGTATGTGATCTGGATTGGGTTTTCCATTGATCCACTGGGATGAAATTATGGGCCTATTATTATCCAAAGAAATATTTCTTCTTTTTATTGGATTGGATTGGACAACTTTCAAGAGTTGGTAATGCAGATACTGCTCTTCAGAGATAATAAATTCTTTCTTTTATTTTCTTTGAACAATTGAAATTAAAGACCATGAATTCTTCTAACAACCAAGTTAATTCATCTTTTCTTCTTAATTGAATCTTTGCTTGGCTCTCATTTTCTGGTTTTTTCATTGGCTGTATCATCTGGAGGCTGGACCTATCTTAGTAATGGTTGGTGCTAATGCTGGATTCCCTCAAAGCATCTCTTTTCCACAACTTCTCAGGGGTTGTTCTCCAACACGAATGTTTATGTTTATGTTTTCTTGTTTTTTTTTTAATGACACTTTACAAAAAGAGTGTTTTTTAGTGTATGTTTTCTCAAAATAAAGTAATCTTAAGAGTCTTTTTAGTTCACCGGGGTCTGGAATTGGAATTGGAATAGGCTATTCTGATTCCAACTGTCTGGTTGGGTGAAATCAGAATCCCATTTCAATTCCTGGTGGAAGGCATTCCCCCATTTGAGTGCATAATCATTCCCTCCCCTTCCCTTGGGAATGAAATCCCATTCCAACTGATTCCAATTCCGATTTCTGTTCTATTTGAACCAAACAGACTATGAAATAGATCATTCCAATTCCTTTTCTGACTGTGAATCAAGGAAACACTTGGGCTATGTTTGATTTTATAGAAAATAAGAGAGAAAGAAAAAGGTCAAAGGGAAAAGTTGTTATGAACTCTCACAAAAGTCCACATGAGAGCTTTTCCTCAACTTTATATCTGTTTCTCACTTATTTTCTATCAAGCCAAGCAGAGCCTAGGCAAAGTATTTTCTATCAAGGAGTACTGAAATGCTGGAGATATTATGATTCATATTCAACAAAAGAGAAGTGGGAAAAGAATTTAAGAAGGTGGATTTTCTATTTGATGATTTCTGTCTTCTCTTCAAAAAGAGTATAGAAAATAAAAGAAAATAATAGACAACAAGAAAGCAAAAGAGCCCAACTCTCTAATATTTATTTCCTTTTCTTGTTCTATTTTGTCCATGGTTTTTAAAATTGATTCGGTCAGGGATCCAGTTATTGGTTCAAATGGTCCAATCTTCGATCTAAATGGTCGGCCCGTTTTGACAAAAAAATTAAAAATTTTGAAAAACGGTCAAAACCGTTCAAACGGTTAATCGGACAGTTCAGTGGTTTGCTGACCAAAATCAACGGCTTTGGGGGAAAAAGCGGGTTTGGGGAAAGATGGAACCGATCAGGTGACCAATTCCCGGTTTTTCCGGTTCAACTGTCTAGTCCAGTCCGATTTTAAAAACCATGATTTTTTTCAACCACTTCACTTTTCTCAACTTGCGATGCCGTAACCAATTGAGGGCTGGCTCGTTAGTGTATTAGTTGGTTTGTTCCAATATTGACACGAAATCCTGCAATCAGCACTTTATGGTAAAAGGGTCAGGAGAAGTTATTAATGGTGCATAGCACCGATTACCAAAAAAAAACCTACAACCTCCTTAAAGAAATCTTATTCACTAAAATACAAAGCAATAAACTTTTCAGTTCAGCATCAGCTGTTGTCAAACATCCTCTTAAGGCCTCGTTTGTTCACGGGGAATAAGGGTCAAACATTTCAGATTATCTGCGTAGCTCTATAAAGAATTAAATAATTGAAAGCAATAGATAGATGCTTACACTCGACATGAGATAATGCCATGTATTTCCTCGTGGCAGGAGCTATGTCATTCATGAAATTCCATTTCATGGGGTTCCCACGTGAGGAGTTTGAACGATGTCTTCGAATGAACAAACCCCCACGTTCTTGAGGACTGAGATCAGAAGGAGTGTCGGTGGTTGGACCGTCATAACTTCACATCTTGCCACCTGGCAATATTTTCTTTTGTTTCTCTTTTGAGGGTGGGGCGGGCCTTTGATTTTCACGCCCATGGAGGGGAGCTTATCCAGTCTGCCGCTAATTCTAATCGAAATTACAGGCCCCATGTTTCCTCCGCATTACTCGATCGATCTTTCTGCCTTGGAAACATTTATCAATTGAACAGAATCAGATCGATTAAATAGAAAAGTAACACAAATACTTATTGTCAGTAACGTTTTCATCTGGGGAAGGACTATAGAGCAAATTAATGGAAGGTGGAGACCAGAGTCAATATATATGGAGTTATGGACCCTTGTAATTGAATATGGTGAGCCCCAGAGGAGCTATAGTGGGTTAATAATTGTGCCTCTCATGAGATCATCAATATCAAATAATTCTCTCAAGGAATTAATAAACATAAAATAAAAAGAAGAAGAATCAGAGAATCATCTCTGTCCCTATGTCTTTTAGCTTCTTCAACCTGTAGCAAATATTTAAAAATGAATCAGAAAATGTAAAACCGAAATGGGTAGGTTTATTAAGAGGTTGATGACATTGAGTGTTGTTGTGTGGTTCCTTTTTTTGCTTTTCTGTCTATGCAAATTAACATAAACTACTGCTTCATTCTTCAGTTTTGAAAATATATACCATGATAAATGTAATACATAGATGCATCAACATAGCCTTTGGTGATCAATTTGGTGGGTAATCATAATCCATAAGAAAAAGTCTTTGATTGCTGCGAAATAGTATGCATTAATTACTTCATTAGCTGTTCTGTTTAAGTGGCAAGAAGACACACTGACACAGTATGAAAGTAGAAAATAACATCAAACAGATGTGGCATGGCAGATACCTGTTAAAGATGAATGACAAAT